TGAGAATTTAAGCTTGTAAACTCTAAACATTAAGGAGAAAATCTCTTTGTAATTTTCATTTATTTATTTACTTACTTATTTTTAAAGTAAGCTCTACACCCAATATGGGGCTTAAACTCAGGACCCCAAGATCAGGAGTCACATGTCATGCCAACTGAGCCAACCACACATATATATACCTATAAAATCATATAAGCAGGATTTATGTGATTTTTTTTTAAAGATTTTATTTATTTGACAGAGAGAGACACAGCGAAAGAGGGAACACAAGCAGGGGGAGTGGGAGAGGGAAAGCAGGCTTCCCGAAGAGCGGGGAGCCTGATGCAGGGCTCGATCCCAGGACTCTGGGATCATGACCTGAGCTGAAGGCAGACGCTTAACGACTGAGCCACCCAGGCGCCCCGGGATTTATGTGATTTTTAAACAATATTTCAAATAGACTATTATGTAGTTTTTTGGCTTTGCTTTTATTTTTACTTTTATTTTAAAGATTCCATCTATCTGAGAGAAAGAGCACGAGTAGGGGGGGAGAGGGAGAAGTGGACTCCCCGCTGAGCAGGGAGCCCATGGTGGGGCTCAATCCTGGACTCTGGGATCATGACCTGAGCCAAAGGCAGATGCTTAACCGACTGAGCCACCCAGGTGACCCTTTTTGTACTTTTAAAAATATTAAATGAGCTTTGTTCACATCTCAGCTCCATTTTCCCTAAAAACTGCTACTACTTTTCCCTTTACATACTATTTTTGTCATGATATTTTTTTAAATTTTTTTAAAGATTTTATTTATTTATTTGCCAGAGAGAGAGAGAGAGCACAAGCAGGGAGAACGGCAGGCAGAGAGAGAAGCAGGCCTTTTGCCGAGCAAGGAGCCCAATGTGGGACTCCATCCCAGGACCCCAGGATCATGACCTGAGCCGAAGGCAGACGATTAACCGACTGAGCCACCCAGGCGTCCCTCGTGATAATTATTTATAGGGATGACAGTTGGTTACACACCCCCATTTAAAAAAAAAAAAACAACCCTACACTTATCTCATAGATGAAAAAAACTTAGATGAAAAAAATTTAATGTAAAGTGACTGTGTAATGGATTTTTAACCCCTAAGTGGTAGAGGAGACAGCTCAGTCTGAAAAAGTAAATATAAGAGCAAAATTTCTCTGAAGTACTATGTAGTTTAATAATTCTATCAGTCCACTATTCTATTGCATCTAATTGCAATGAGTATATTGGTATACTTAATAGTTTTTTGTCTTTGGATTATTTCTAGGGACAAATTTCCAGGTATGGTATTTACAGAGATTTTAAAATCATTTTTAATAATTGTTCCCAGGGTCCCCTGGGCGGCTCAGTCAGTTAAGTGTCTGACTCTTGATCTCAGCTCAGGTTTTGATCACAGGGTTGTGAGTTGTTCCCAAATGGTTTTTTAAATTATTTTTATTATTTATTTATTTTTAATGGATAAATGGGTGTTTATTTTATTGTTAACCATTTTGAACTGCCAATTTACATCACATATACTTCTTTGTATATCTCACTGTACTAGTTCTCTAGGGCTGCTAAAACAAATTGTCACAAAGGAGACATCTTAAAACAACAGAAATTTATTCTCACACTTCTGGCAGCTAAACCAAGGTGTGGGTAGGGCCACACTCCTTTCAAAAGCTCTGAGAGATAATCCTAGGAGAGTAGTATAGATCTACACATTTTAGGAATAACTTTTCTGCTTATTTGAGTGTTTCTCATTCTTTTAAAATAAAAATGTAGTGGATTTTATTTTATTTTTATTATTATTTTTTTTTATTTTTAACTAGGCTCCGTACCCAGCATGGAGCCCAACGTAGGGCCTGAACTCCCGATCCTGAGATCAAGACCTGAGCTGAGATCAAGAGTTGGATGCTTAACCCACTGAGCCACCCAGGTGCCCAGTGAATTTTAGCTCTTAAAAAAAAGGATGTTTTTCCTCCGTAGCCTGAATGTACTGTTTCCTTTTTCCTTGGGCCTACCTTGTTTCCTGGGATCGATGTTGCTTTTTTTCTGCTCACTTGACATTGAAACAGTGGAAAGGTAGTCAGGCTCACCTGGCTCTGGGTATGAGCTGGCCTTGATCCCCGCGACCTTTCCTCCTGATGCTGCCATATTTATTTTCTTTACTGAAGTATAGTTGATACACAATATTGCATTAGTTTCAGGTGTACAATATAGTGATTCAGCAACTCTATATGTTATGTTATGCTCACAAGTGTAGCTACCATCTGTTACTATACAACACTGTTATAATACCACTCACTATATTCCCTATGTGGTACCTTTCATCCCTGTGACTTATTCATTCCATGCATATAATATCTTCTTTATCCATTCGTCTATGAATGGACACTTAGGTTGCTTCCATATCTCGGCTATTGTAAATAATGCTGTAATGAATATGTGGGTGTATCTATCTTTTTGAATTACTGTTCTTGTTTCCTTTGAATAAATACCCAGTAGTGGAATCACTGGACTGTGTGGTATTTCTATTTTTAAATATTTGAGGAAGCTCCGTACTATTTTTGACAGTGCCTAACCAATATGCATTCCTACCACAGTGCACAAGGGTTCTCTTTTCTCCACATCCTCACCAACATTTGTTATTTCTTGTCTTTTTGATATTAGCCATTCTGACTGGTGTGAGGTAGTATCTCATTGTGGTTTTGATTTGCATTTCCCCGATGATCAGTGATGTTGAACATTTTATCTTGTGTCTGTTGGCATTGTTCCCAAATGTTTGAAAGAATCATTTACACAACTCATTTTATCAAAACCTAGCTAGATTGTTTTATATTATTTAAAATTATAATTGCTTCCTTATTAACTTGAAATTTCAAAGTTGAGATGGATTCTTGCTTTTCAAGTTTAGCACTATGATTTCTTTTTTGTGTGTGTATGATATTTGAAGAAGTATGAAAATCCTTTATCACCCTTCTCTCTATATGTGGAAAGTCAGATTTGTTTCCATTTGTTAATATGTAATGCACTTCTCGGAAATGTGGAAGATCTAGTCTTTGGGTTCTAAAATCCTTTAATGTGTCAAGTCCTGATAATATTTCTAGCTACCTGAAAATGACTGAATCAGATAAGAATCTGTTTTTTCTTTCCTCCCAGCATTACCCACCAGAACAATTCAGACTTTTCATAGATAGTAATGTCAGTGTTTCTTTAGTAGTGAATATTTAAAAGAGGAATTAATTCTAGGGGCGCCTGGGTGGCTCAGATGGTTAAGCGTCTGCCTTTG